TAAAATTACAAGAACAGAGGATCTGGGAGGTCAGTCTATGATCAAAACAATTACAATGTGAAAGAAGGTAAACACAGAGGAACAGACATCCAGGTGGTGGGAAGGTCAGGTAGATTACAGGATAAAACAGACTGTCTTAAATGGAGGGAAGAGTTAATGGAATATAAGGTAACCACAACAGCGGGGTTAGGGTGAGGGATTTAGTTTGGGTGTTGGAGAGGACAATGCAAGAAGAGGGAGGATGTAGAAGAACAAGACAGATAGGGGAACACTGAGACAGGTTTGCATGGCCTTATTGGGACAGAGGTAAATAGTGATGCATACTCAACCTTGGAACAACAGGGCTCTATGATACAGGGATTTAGGCACAGCTTCAAAAGAGGAAATAATACTAAAACGCTTGACTGTCTTATGAATATTGGTTTCCCTTGACGACTATTGTAAAATAGGCACGTGAGTGGGATAGAAAGGAATGTTGGGAAACATGATTACAGAAAACTTGTAAGCACATCTTCAGCCTATAACTGATTGAAATACCTCAAAGGTATTCTACAACTTGCCCAGTGAAATAGGCCTCTTGCAAAGCCTTTGCAGAGTATCGGACCTTAGGTGGAATCCTGAGTTCCATCCAGAACCTCATGAGGTGGGACATTCCCACTAGCAAGGACAAATCAGACTAGCCTGGAACAGCTAGAGCAACAGAAGATACATCTTTAAAGGAAAGATCATCAGGAAAAACCCTCAACAAAAATGTCAGCATGATGAGCTACTACAAGAATAAGCAAGCTGTTCGCCAGGAAGCCATCAGGGCAAGCAATCAAGTTTCTTCAGGACAAACGCCCCTCTAAGACTGAAACTCAAAGGGAACACATAAACAGGCATGTAAACTTGCTGGCAACCACATTGATCTACTGGCCAGTGGAAGAGGGGGAAATGCAGCAATGAAGAAATGGGCTGAGTTCAACCACAGTCCATTGACTCTTGTTGACTTGGAGATGAGAGAGAGAATAGGAAGGGTTGGTTGGTCCAAAGTGTGGTGAGACCTGGGGACATTTGAGGCCATGGACAAGCACATAGCCACAGAGGGCTAGAGCTGAGAGTGTATCATCCAGCTAATATGAAGTGAGGGGAGATGTACAAGAACACCCAAACTTGCAGACAGTACTCATTTGACCTAGCCTCTAAAGCTGGATAATCAGAACTCAACTAGAGGAAGATAACACACACAAAAAACAGAAAAAAAAAATTTTGATAAAAGAAACAAGAGTAAATTGTTACAATTTGATGAACATGACCTATATCCCTGGAGGTAGTAACTCTAAATACCAACAGAGAGGGAAGGAGTCTTCACATGAAGTATCAGTGCTATCCCCTCTGTACACATGGTAGATAGGGATGGGAAACTTAGACATTGGCTACCTAAAATGAGGGGGCAATATAGGCATGAAGTGACTGGCTTATAAGGTTTCAAGAGAGAGTTTAGTTTAAGAGTATGGGGTGGGGGGCGGGGGGAGAAAGAGTCTCCATTGAACAGTTTTCATCTTGTCTAGATGGGTCTGGTGAAAAGAGATGGGGATAAGATTCGCATGATTCAATAGTGAATAATTGTTATCATGACTAATTGTTACTGTTACAATTG